TCATTTGAAAAAAGCAACTTGGTGATCTTGATTTTGGCTTTACTTTTCTTTGTTACCTAAAAACTGAATATTTTCTGTAGCCTTATACAGTGCTGTTACCCATTCATCCATATCTTTATCCTTGGAGAGTCTAAGCAGGAGATACATGTCTCTAATGTCCTATGTAAAATCCTTATTGAGTTTAGTCCTATTTACACTTTTTTTTTTCTAAAATTACTTGGTTCTTCAAGTATTGTAGAAAATGGACTCTTCTTTGAACTTGCACTTAACTCTCCTAAGCTGTTTGTATTTGTTTCTGTTTTTGTCTTGTTTAACTGTCTCTAGCATATGGGCTTTGCAAATGCTAGATGTGGCAATGTAGCCTAAGTTTTGTTTCTCTGAGAAGTTGTTTATTGTGTTTAGCTCCTACATTTCAGAATTCAGTGTCTGACATATTATGGTAATTTAAATGACAGGTTGTCTAGGAAAAAGGATGGTTTTTGTTTAAAAGAAAAAAAATGAAACAAGATCTGGTATTTTCATTTCCCCATCTGTAAAATGGAGGCAATACTAATCTGCATCAAAGTAGCATTTTTAAAGCATATGTTGGTAAAATGTTAACAGTTCTTCAGATGGAAGAGGCCGTACAACTACTAAGTTATTTATACATTGCCATAAGCATTCAGTGTTACATGACAGATATATAATACAATATCTCTTCCATGCAGTTTACAATCTCAGCTGTAATACATACAGCATGATGCACCAAGAGATTAAATTAGACAAGGGCAGTATTAATGGCAGAAAGATTTACAGTCAAATATTATTATTCTTGCTAATTAATACTTGACACTTTTCCTACATGGCATTACCCGTTGATTACCCCAGGCTGTATCTCTTCCACAAATGGTTTCCTTTTACATTCTGAAAGACATAATCCAATGTGATAAACGCACATTATCTTTCTAAAACGAACACAACAAAAATTGACCTTATGTTATTCAAAGTATGGGGCAGGTTAAAGATTTCCAGTAACAAATTAAGAATCCAGGGTTCAAATAAGCACAGGTGATAGGATAATGTACTGTATTCCCAATAGTCAATTATAAAATAATTTTAAAGAATCTATTATAGAACCACATTTTCCTTTCATTCATAAAATTTATGTTAACAAGTGGAACAGTATTGCTGCCCGTGACCATGATAAAGGACCAGAATTAATTTAGACACGATTGGACAGGTTGTGCCCCTGTGAGCTAAAGATCAAGACTACCTGTAGTTTCAAGTGACCCAAATTCTAGAGGGATACATTTCCATACAAACTGGGTGTAAAAAGCTGAATTACTGGGATACCAAAGAAAGCCAGATAAAGTTCCCATTCAGAAATGCTGGGAAGCAGCAAAATAAATTCAGGACCTATTTTAGGAGAAGACAAATACCCTATGGGTGTTCCCAGGACCAGCCATAAATTGGTTTCTAGAAAAGCTTGAGGTCAAATCTATGTTCTCTGTACCTTTGCGTTCACTACTGGAAACCTGAAGGACCTAGTGAATCTGTTTGAAGTCCAAACTTGTGGTCATATAGTTGAACCCAGTGGCCCCAGACACTTTGGCTGGACTCTGCTTCCAGCCTCATGGTTATGAACAGACATGTGCAGAATTGCCCAAGACAGAAGAATCCCATCTCTCATCATCTAGAACACTAAAGGAACTCTCCAACTACTTCATTCAGCAGAACAATTCAACGAAGGCCTTGTCCAGTCCCGGTTAGCTTTTCTTTGGACCCCATAATTGATGTGGAAAGTTGTTTGTGAAATGTAAGGCTTGTTTATTGTTATCTGTACAGTCTATACATTAAAGCTGCTCATTTTAAATCCATAAATATATATATTTTAAATTAAATCCTTTAAAGATAAGCTGCTGCTATACACTCATCAGTTTACAGAGAAAGCAAGCATTTAAAGAGGACCTTGCATTCTCTGTGTAGACCAGAAGGTGGCACTCACCCTCCACAGCAAGGCTTTAAATCGGTAAAAAATGGAAAGAGCAGCACTAGTGGAATGCGAGTCAGAAAAGGATTGTTTGAATTTGGTGAGATTCCTTATAACATTTTGTCAAAATATTTTCATTAATTCTTTAGATTAGTCACGATAAACATTTTTCCAGGATATTAGAATCCAGCTCATTCATCCAGGAGATGGTCAGCAAAAACTAAGTGCGTTTTCTCTGTTCCTAACCTGAGGAAAGGCTTCAAGAACTTTTTATCGCGCCATTATCTTCTGGAGAGAGAATCATCTCAAATACTTTGCTAACCCTGTTATTTATCAGTGAGGACTTTATTTTTACTTGTGTGGCTGCATTTTGCAACTTCCAAGCCTGATGTACACTTACAAGGTTTTCTGGAATATCAGCTTGGTAGCTAGCATGTTAACTAATACGTTATTGAACAGCGTTTGTCCTGTTCTGTGTTCAGCACAAAGCCAGTTAACATTAGTAGCAGTTGTATTCAGCTACTGTATAGGTTTGTAGTGCACCAAGGCTCCAGATAGTGGTGGAAAGTAATTGATCTATGATTCCCTGTTTCTGCACAAATTTGTAGTGTATTCTAGATGTATGCTGCCTGTGCTATATAATAAGAGAAGGCCCTGTTCTTCAAGGAGAACACAAGCATCAATGGTGACATTTCAGGAATGAGACTTGGACTTTGTTGTTGATATTTGAACAATAAAAACTCCAGAAGAAAAGCCAATACGCATGAATCTCTAGTAGAACACCTAGAACAATGTACTTAAGAATGTACCCCAAGCACCGATCATAGGAATGCACGGTAGAGATGCCAAATTAGTTATCAGTTAGTTAATCCTTAAATAAGGAAATATGTTAATTTGCATTTTAAAGGCATTCC